ACAAAAGCTTTACAGAGGAGCTATTTCCAGTGACTTGGACTTTCTACCCAGTAATTAGATGCCCCAGAAGGGATGGAGAAATGTACAAAATACATGTGGGCAAAATTGCTAGCAGCCAGAAAACACTTCATGGCTTTTTTTTCCCCTGTAAACTCCAGGAAGCGGTGGGAAGGAAATGGGTTTCAGTGTGAATGTCTCCCTTTTAACCTTACACAACACACAGTGACATTATTTCATCCTATGTAATGATATGTCTGTGTGCAGGTGATGGTTTGCCGGCTATTTTAAGCATCTCTGCTGCATACATAGTTATGCATCACCCAATTTGTCAGAATCCTGATTGCAACAAAAATTGACCTCCAGCCAGATGTTCATTCTCATGCTCTCATACAGACTATATATAATTGAGAAAAAGAAGGAATGAAGTGGGGAAAAAGGAGCATGAAATGTTGTATGTTTTCCTCCCTTCCACTTCCCATCTATTTGTGCTCTCCCTCATTAACAAAAGAGTATGAGAAATAGAGGGTAGCTAAAGTGAAAGGGAGCTGTTGAATTGTGCCTTATTGTTTGAATGTTCTTAAGGAAGGGAACCACAGCTTTGGGATGGAGGACTGGGATCTTTCGCTGCCCACTGACACCCATCCCCACACCCCCCACAGAGAGCAGGAGCACTTTCTAGGTAGCAACAGGTGTGCCCAGGTGATAAAATAATTAGGGCAGGAACACCAGACATAGCGACCAGGCTTGGATACAGTTGCTGTCAATGCAACAGGGAAAATTGAAAACATTAATTGAGTAATTCTCATAAAACATAATAGAATTCTTGAATATTCTTGAGGAGTATAGCAGAAAGGGCTATAAATTTATCAAAAGGGCTATAAATTCACCAAAACACATTTCTGTTTTCTATTAGGCACCCTCTAGACAACACCAGCTGCTGTCTTACCTGTGACATGCACGGCCTCTTATTCCTTCCCCACTCAGCAGCAGGATGGAAAAGACTTCAAGGTATAGAGGAGGACAGGAATGATACAGGATAGGATATCATCAAAGTTATGTGAATACAGCCTACCTCAGCTGGGAGGATGGACAGATGCTGTCTCTCTGGCCTGAATCCATGGACAGTCCAAAGACCAGGGAAAGCACCAGCCTGGAGCTGTGACCTACTCAACATCTGAAGTCTATATAGGTGGTCCTCAAAGCATGTTCTTGTTTTTATGACAAAATACCTGACATAATCAGCTTCAAAGTAGAAAAGTTTTATCCTGCCTATAGTTTCAGAGTTCGGCCATGGTCACTTGGCCCTGACACTTTGAGCCTATGGCAGCTCCTCATGTCATTCTGAGAGTGTGTGGTGGAGGAGGGAGGATGCTTCTTCACTGCATGGTGACCAAGAAGCAAAAAAGAGACAAAGGAAGAGACCCACTTCCCAATCTCCCCTCACTTGTCCTGCTACTGATCCAACTTCTTTTCAGTAAGTCCGGCTTCCAAGGCTTCCACCACAACCCAGCAGTGCCACAGGCTGGCAACCAAGCTCCTCATACACATCCTTTGGGGGAATACTAGCATCCTACCCCTGACCCCACAAAGGCTCATGCCCATCTCACAATGCACAATGCACTTAGTCCCTCTCCAGAAGTGCCCAGACTCTAAATATTCCATCACTGCTGAGAAATCCAAAGTCTCTTCTGAGACTCAAGGCAGACTCTGCTATGCACCCCTGTAAAAATCAAAAAGCAAGTCACACACTGTGAAGACACAATGGTACAAAGTAGATATTCTGATTCTGAAAAAGAGAAAGGGCTGAGGATGTAGCTCAGCAGTACAGCATCTCCCTGGCAAGTGCGAGTTCCTGGGTTCGATTCCCAGTATGGGGAGGGGGGGAACAGGAGTGTATATAGGAAGGGTCAGACTAAAAGAAGACCAAAATTCAGCAGTGCAAACGTTAACTCCTCAGCTGTTAGTGCAACACCTGGGAGCGGCCCCTCTGTGACATACTGGCTGCAGCCCGTGGGCCGCTTTCATGGGCGGGCAGCTCCCGTGGTTGCCTCCCCCATTCATGGCATCTCTGATTTCCAGGGGTCTCCATGCCGGCTTTGGCTTCACTCTCACAGCTTTATTAGGCATCACTCTGCTCTCGGCTGCTCGAAGCAACTATGACTTTGCCACATCCTCCCTGGCTTCCCAGGATTTCCTTTGAAATCTTGGTGTAAGCCTCCGTGACTCCACAAGTTTAGCAGTCTGCACACCATGAAAACCACAGCTGTAATGGTCTCTGAGTGCCCTGACGGCTGAACATAGGGAAACAAATCCCAAGGAAGTAATTCCTGGGGACCCTATGTAAGCAGAGCACCCTGCAGCTTTCTTCTGAAGTGAAAAGTCTTTAAAACAAGTTTACCCATTACACCTTTGAGGCAGTGATGGGTGGGGTCTTGCTAATCCCCTTAAAGTATCTTTCTGATTACCCTGGTGCAAAATATTTGACTTCTTTTTAATATCACTAGTTTATTTAGTAGCTACATCCTCCTTTTCTGGGCAACCTACAAGTTTCTCAAATTTTTTGCTTTGAGCTTTTGCCCTCAGCTCTTGCTATAAATCTGGCTAAGAGCAGCCAGCAATGCACAGGTTGCTGCAGAATGCTGTGATTCTCTGAAATTTACTCTGCTAGATAAACAAGTTCGTTACCTTTAATTCAGCCTTTCACAAAGCCTTAGAAGATGAACATGATGCTCTTAAGTTCTTTGTCAGGGTGTAACATGAGTCTCCTGTAGTCTAATTCCCAGTGGACTCTTAATTTCCATCTAAGAGCTCATGAGCATAGATCTTTGCTGTCTACATTTCCATCAGAATCCTGGTCCTCCACGGTCTTGTCAGAAACTTCAGCTAAGCTCTGCTTACAGCATTCTAGGCTTTCTCTCAGTTTCCTTCACCACACTTTTCCAAATCCCTCCAACAAACCTTTTCCAAAAGTTTCTGATCTACATCATCAGGTATAGTCACAACAGCGACCTCACTTCTCAGTACTAATTTCTAGGGATCTTCCAGTCCAGTAACAGTGGCAGGGAGCAGAACCATCAAACCTGGAAGCCTGTTACAGATGCACCCTTTTAGATTCTACTCCAGACTGACTGAAACTCAGACTAAGCATGGGCCCTGGACATTTGGACCAGTGAGTCCTGCTGGTGGCTCTGATATAAGCTGAAGTTTGAGGACCACTGCCCAGGAGTGTGGTGGCAAACCTAAGGCATGTGTGCCTCGGTGGGAACTGAGAGCCCTCTGTCAGCACAAGAGCCAAGTGGTCCTAGCCAAGGTCTGACAAACAATCAGCATGCACACAAGAGCAAGGAGCACATTCACTGTACAAAAGCACTCCAAATGCAAAATTCTCCTTTCAATAAAACCTGTTTGTAGCACCAACAGCTCTATTATTGTTTTTTTCTTTTAAGACAAAAGATGTTAATGTATGAGTTGTTTTTTTCTGAACTAAAACCTCACCCTTCAGGTTTAATTGCAGAGCTGGCACTGTGATAAATAAGTGGGTTTGGGGTTGCAGTTTGGGTGCTCGGTCTCTAAAAGGTTCACCATCGCTGTCCTGGAGATTTCAGTACCAGGAGAGACCCTGAAATGTTATAGGGGTAAATGGTCTGATGCTTTCAGTTCTGACATTTATATAGAGATATATATTCTTCAGGCATATTTGCAAATATTGGAAGAACAAATTGGAACAAAGGTGTTACACGCTTTGCTTCAAGCCACAATCAATTTGAAGGAAAAGAAGGACTTGCTCAGGTTAATAAGCACCTGTCTTGCTTAGTGGCTTGTGTGATGTCAGACCTGAACAATGCCTGTTTCTGACCATTAGGGCAGGATTAGCTAGAGGATTATGCGGGATTGGAAGAGATGGAATAGTCTCAACATTTAAAAGAAAGTAGCTTTTTCTAGGGCATGTTGAATAGTGCTAAGAATCCCTCTGAACCTTAAAGCTTCAAATTTATGAGAGTTTTTCAACAATGTCAGGGGAAACAGATGTAGAAGCAAGGGATCCTGGAAGCTCACACACCTCTCCTTTGACCCCCACAGGCCTCTGTATTCTTAAACTAAAAGAACTGGAAGGGACAAATATCATGCAGGCTCTGTTTGAAAATGGGGCACAGTAGGAGACCCCATAAAATGCTTAATCCCAGGGGTCATCACACTGGCTTGGGTGGAAGTAAGAAAGCAAGAGCTACATTGCTTGGGTCCTGCTGTCCAGTGCTTCCTCTGGTGCCACCTTCCACCCAAAGGGTAGGGTGCATGAGTCCCGTGGCCTCCCATTGATCCCTATTTACGTCCTCTCCGGGGAGGCCAGGCGTGAGTGTAGGTCAGAGGGGAGACCTGACAGCTGACCTCTAGGCCACAAAGATCTCAAGTAGGTTTTACTGCCTGCTTTTGTTTCATGTTCAGTCCCCAAAACTTTTCCTTTCTCAGTAAAATTGGCTATCTTTTTCCTTCCCTGGACATGGTCAACACCGGGACAGTGGCCCTTTACTGAGATGGATGCATGGTTACAAGAGTGTATAAAAGGCCAAAAGACAAGGGACTGGAAGAGAACGATTTCTGTGACCGCGGGCCTGAGGCTGAGGGGGCCAAGCAAGGCCTAGGACATGGTTGCCTCGGGCACAAAATTAAAGTGTTGTCTAAATGGTCAATAATCAACATAAATGATACTTTGATGCAATATTTTAAAAATCAAATTAAGGCCAAAAATCTATGATGAACAAAATACCACAATACTCAATACAGGGAAGCTCAGTATTACTGATTTTTCCTCGATAGGTCCCAGTCATTCTACACAGCACTGTGACCATCAGCTACAACACTGCAGATACACTCTGCTGTGTGTAGAACAGACAGAGGGTGATTAGTAAAAGCTAATTCTCTGAGGTCAGATTTCTTAGTGGTAAAAAAAAAAGAGAGAGAAAGAGAGAGATTTTAAAAAAAAAAGAGAAGGGAGACGAAAAGATCTCTTGAGCATTTATAATGTCTGAGGCATTGTATTAAGCACATCACATGTGTTAATTTGAGGACGTTGAGTCCTCAAAACACTAGGAAGGCAATGCTGTGTTTAGCAGCACTCTCTGGACAAGGTTGTGGACATGGAGAGGTCGGCTTCGTTGTCCAAGATCACCTGGCAAGTGGCAAAGCTGGGATATTGGTGAATGTGTGCAAGTCCTGGTTCACAAGAAGCAGGAAGACACGAAGCAGAGAAGGGAGCCAGGGAAGACGCAAGGGAAGCAGAAGCACCAAGCTCTTTGTGATCAGGACAGCAGAGGACACCGCAGGAGTGCGGCAGTTTGATGAAGCCAGTGTAGTGTCTCTGAACAGAAGAGGAGAGCAGATCTGAGACGCATGCTGTCCTGTTGGTGCAAAGTATCCACCTAATGTTGGCTGTTTTCATGTCCTGACACCGCCAGCTGACAGGAAATGCTGAATGCGCCAGGAAATGAGCAGGAGCCAGGCAGAAGTGGGCAAGGCGGTGAATGGCGGAGATGCAGCTCCTCTGCTGGCTTAGCCGCTCCCTCGAAGGCAGGTCTCCTTCTGCCTCACAGCACCCAGATCTTTCCTGTAGAACTAAGGAATAACACCCCAACACCGCATGTATTATTCCTTTACTTATTTATGGGTCATAGCTGTGTGTATTGTGGCAGGGTGTAACCCGACTGAGCGTGACAAGAGTGACGTCTCCGTCGCAGGAGGGAAGCACTGCATAGGCCTTAGCACGACACCTGGGACGCCTCCCTGGCCTGGGAACCGCACTGGGGGAAATCAGAGAGGCCTGAAATGAGAATGGGGGGGGGGTCACACTGCTGTGATATCACTCCAACAAGACCCAGAGAAAAGCAGTTTACTCTGAAGTGACAGTCTGACGGTGGAAAATAAACTAACAGGAGGGAGTTTAGGCTCATTAGCGGCCTGGTCTCAATATTTCATTATTAAAGTTAGTACAAGAAGGAAGAAGGCAGCAGCATGAGCATGTGTGGGTCCCACACACACGAAGAGCCAGCTTGGAGGCAGACGGCAGTGCAGGCTCACACCCCCTTCTTCTCAGTCCAGGCATGACGCCCCCTCCGGAGGGACCAGGCACCGGACAGGACGCAGAATGGGGAGGGCTGGTTCTTCTCCTCTCATGGCTAAATGGCTGAACTGGGGCCCTCAGTGGGACTGCAGCTGAGTTATTAGAACCCAAGCCTCAGGCAGGGAAGCCCCGACCCACACCCTGCGGTGGGCCCGGATAAGCAGCGGAGGCATGGGAGGCCGCCTGCTGTCCCACGCGGGGTTTCTCCATCAACCCCTCGGGCCGCGGCTTCAGGCCTGCCCGAGGTGTACGCCGCTGCACCTGGATGCAGGAGGAACAGATACTAGGAGTCCACAGCTGTGGTCTAGCTAGGCCAGGAAACAGGACACAGCCTGGAGATTGTGGCTGACGTCTAAATATTCCACAGTAAGCAACCATGGGATTCAGTTTAAGTTAAAATGGTAAAGGAGCCATCAAGTTCTACCCATTGTCCAAAAAAAGAAAATGAAAATTGTCCTCCATGCCATCAGTTTGGCTTTCTTGATGATTACTGTGCTGTGAGTGGCTGATCGGTTTTCTTCCTGATGTTGAGCCTCACCATGCAGCCAGCCTGTTTTCTAGGGCCATTTCTGAACATGCTTAGATGCTATGCTGATATTAATACTTTGAGCTCATTTCTTCATCCAGTGGCAACTGGAAACATATCCAAGAGCATCTTTTCCGTTGTCTGTGTCCTCGTAATTTATTAGCATGACAGAGTTATTGAGCTAACAGTGGACACATGACAGGCCACTACCTACTGCTGAGCTGGGTACTGTGCTGGGTCCAAGCGCATATGGAGATGAGACAAGTTCATGGTCCTTCTGCTAGTAGATTTGAAGATTGAGGCAGGAGACATATTCATAACCAAGTCCCAGTAGACTGTGTTGGTGGCATGAGCAAAGTGATCCGAGTGCTCTGAAGAAGAGGGGGTGTGAATGCTGTTTCCCAAGCGGTGGTCTCCTCCACCTTCTGGGAGGAAGTAGCAGTTAAACTGAGACAGAGTGGAGCAGCTGCCGGGGATGAGTCAGAGGCAAAAGAGAATTCTCAGCAGAGGGACCTCCGTGTGCAGGCCGGGGGTCCCAAGGGCAGAGTGTGCCCATTTCTTACTCAGAAAGAAGGATGAGGTCGGTGTCCAGGAGTACAGAGCTGAGGACCGGGCGGTTTGCTGGTAACCAGGGGGTGGCAGGTGACTGATATGCCTTCAAGGCTGAGGGAATTGCTTGGATTCTATTCTGAAGTTGAAAGAAAGCAGATTTGTTTATATCAAAGGAGAGCCATGGATGGATTTATCGTTTAAAGGGGTGTTTCTGGCTGCAGGGTGCAGAGTGAACTGGGGACAGGAAGAACCTGGGAAGAGAGACCTGCCGCAAGGCTCCGAGAAGGAGAGAAAAGGTAGAGCAGAGATAGAAGAAGGGAGAGATTTGAGGCCAGTTCCAAGGAGGATAACACAGGAGGCGGTACGAGTGGAGGCCAGCACAGCACAGGCGAGGTGTCTGGCCACACCCTTGGTGACAGCATAGCAGTGGCACTGCAGTCACTGAGCAGAGATACAGGTGCACCTCTCTCCAGACCTCTTGTGTTCCCGTGGACGACAAGCCTGACCCGGGACGGCTGCTCTCCTGCACCTCTGGTTCAGGAAGCCTTCCTTCTTGCTCTGGTTATGCTTGTACCCTACACACTAGAGTGCTCTTTGTTTCTCCTCTGAATCCGGATCCTATGACCTCCGGGAAGGTGGAGATCAGCTTCAAGAGCAGTGGTTACCCTGCCCTGTCCATAGGCCCGGACACAGCAACCATACCTGGACCGTGTTAGAAATGTGTCAAGCTGGACCCCAACCCAGATCTCCTGAACCAGTGACTGGAGGGACAGGCTCAGCTGGCACTGTTTGGAGCAGCCCTTGAAGGATTCTGATTCCCACCTGAGTCTGAGAAGGCTGATTTGACCCTGCACCATTCACACTGTCCGTATGGGAGTCGCATGCAATTTCTGAGAGAATGAAACTATCTATCCTGGGTTGGAATGCATAACAGTTAGAACACTGATTTTAAAGACACTGCAGAAAAGAAAGAATGTAATTTTTCTTGTGAATCATTTTTATATTGACAGAAATTGAAATAATATTTTCTGTATTTGAGGTTACAATATATTGTTAAAATTCATCTCACCCATTTCTCTTTACTTTTTAATGTGACTGCAAGGCATCTTAAAGTCACACTATACTTCTAGTATACTACTCCAACTTCAAGATGCACAGGGTTACCCAGCCACCTTGGTGAAATGCAGGTAGTAGGTCTGGGGTGGTCGCTGGAATCCTGCATTTCTAGCAAGTTCCCAGGTAATGACCATGCTGCTGGTCCGTGGAACATGCTTTGGGTAGCAGGGTACCAACATATGTTGAGGAAATACCTGAAAGTAGGTTTGGTATCACCAAACAATCACAGAATATAAAATCAACACACTGGCTTTAAGTCTCAAGTCTCTTCTGATTAGCTGTGTGACCTTGGACCGGTCATCTTTTAGTGGAAAATGAAGATAGTAGAAATAACCTTGCAGGATCACTGCAAATTAGAGTGCAATGATATTGATGGAACTGTGACTCTATTAACAAGGACAAATGAATCTACATTATCAGTCCATACCCCACCCAAACATACTGTGAGAAGGATGCATACAAGTACATTTCCCAGTATCTAAGATAATTTAGGGGTATAAAAAGATAGCACAGTTATGTATCTATTCCAAATCACCTCCACACTATTTCTCCTAGATAATCTGATTCATTGTGCCCAAGAAGTCATCTGAGAGGGACAATAGTATCAGGCAAGCGTTTCTCTCAAAAACACTTGGTATCTGGTGGCTTCCTGAAGGGTGAATCCCCAAAGGGAACCACACTGTAAACACCCAGTGAAGGCATGGCTCAAGTCTCTGGGTCAGAGCTGGGGGCTCCTTCACATCACACTTCACCAGTAATTAGCAAGTAGCCAGGCTCCTAGAGGAGCCGCTTGGTAACCTGAGGGATGGGGAACAGAAGTGGTCGTGTGATTATGTCATCATTAGGAAGATGCGGAAGGCAGAGAAAGATGCATAAAGCAATAGTCCCTGAAAGCATAATTGTTCTGCTATGTATGCAGCATCCATATGGTCACGATCAGCCAAGCTTTCTCTCTACAGCTCCAGTGCTGAGGACACAAAACAACAGGAGAGGACAGTGAAAAGCTCAGAAACTGAGCATGTATTGTATCCGGCCTTGTACTAGGTCCTCACAATGGAAATGCTGCAATTTGTTGAATAGGAAGAGAAGCAACTTTGCTAGCTGCTAGCGCTAAATCACCCCTACTTTACACATACACACACAGTTACTTGTTCCAGCTCCAGTTTGGCAAGGAGAGGTATGACACAGAGCTTCTTCTTCATGGAGGTTATTTAGAGATTAATTGGGGCTTCTTGGACAGGGAGGGAGCTCCTCCCTGAGCTTCATTCAGTTTTCTCTAGAAAAAGCAATATTTCTTCTTAGAATGTCCATTGTCAGCCTTGCTGGCAGCACATGTACAGAAAGCTGCATAAAAGCAGAGCCACAACAGTGAGCAGCAAAAGATACAAAAGAACTAGCTTTATTTGGGGTCCTTAAACCAGAGACAGTGGGCCTTAGATACATCTTTGAGAGGAGAGGATGTGAAAAATGATCCTCAAGGCCCCCTCATGCCTTAACTGCTACAGGGTAATTTTGCTTATGTGACATGAACACCCCAGCAGGAAATCTCACGGCACCTGAGTGCCTTGTGTAGCGCTGATGCAGCTGTAGAGGACCAGAGTGGTAGAGCCATGAAATGTCCCAGAGTCAGTGTGGGAGAGACCTGGAAACATGAGGCTCTCAGGGTCAGCAGGTCTTTTGTTCTCCACTGCCTTGAAATGAGCCCTCTGTCTCTGCCTCCAGAGGTGGGAAAGTTGCGGATGGGCTCAGAGTGGGGCCAGGACAGCAAGCGAGTGGGACAAGGTGGGTCTAATTGCACTGTGAAGGTTTTCATGGGGCCTCTAGATCCCCTCCGTCTTCATTCCCCATCTAAAGGCAGGAAACCTTTGTGCTCTCTTCCCTTTATTGTAATCAGCTGTGTGCTCCAAGAAGGATTTGATTATATTAATCTCAAGAAAAAGAAAGAGATGAGCATTTAAGTCACATTAAGTCACAATGACAAGTAATTAAACTGGGACCTCATTTAGCCTTTGCAACTAAAGCCAAGCCTGAGAGGAAGCTAGCAAGGCACCTACTTGCTCAGGATACAAAACACAAAGTGTTCATTCCCAGGGTTGTGGTGGAGGACTTACTCTTGTAGGACCTGAAATTTTGCACTCAGATAACTCTCTTGCCTTCTGCACCTGACCTATGGTCCCCTTTGTGCTCATCTTTTGCTGTCATACACATGGAACCAGCCATAGAGAAGTTTGAAATTGTGCATACAGCTCCAGGATTGAAATTAAGGCCCATCTTTTTGCTCTGCTAGATATCAGCATAATGGCGAGTGGCCCAGACCCTGGAGCATTTGGAGGAGCATCAAGAATTCCAGCATGTACCCTTGTTAACTGGTATTCTGAGCCAACTCACTGAAATACTCAGCTTGAGTTTTCTTATCTGCAAAAAGGAGGTAATAAGGTAACTGAGTGCCTTCTGCACAGCACTGCCATGAAAGTCACGGGGTCACTGCATGTCACGTGCCTACAGCACTGCTCGGAACAAACGTCTCAGGACACGAGGACTCAGTGACAGTCAGGAAGATGACGATGGTTATGGTGTTCACAGTAACCATGCTGCTGGCCACAGCAGTGACATCTGGCCCCATGCTGGCTTTTGTTATTACTCCCATCCAATCACACTGCCTGATAATGCTCAGCATGCTATCATTCTCATGAGGTTCGCATTTTAGCAAGAATATCTGAAGTACAAGATCTCCAACAGTAAATTATTAGGTATTATGTTTGAATCTAGGCAAATTACTTTCTGGATTACAAGAAAGTATGAGTGGCCCCAAATCACACAATTCAAGTCATTCCCAGCTTTACTGGCTGGCCAGTCCACGTGAAGCTCTGCACATGAAGGAGTTCACTCTCCCTTCAGGGTCATGAGCTAAATCCAACAGAGAGAAACTGTCAAGCATTCAAATTTTGGAATCGTCACCAAGCCAGCGTTTTCTAACTTTTGCCCCAGGGAACCCCAGACAAATCTGTTGGCAGCTCACTGATTGCTTGACCCGAGAGCCTGACACTGGGAATGTAAGATTCGATGGTCCATATCACCCCCTGGCCTCCTTTCACACTTGATTACTCTCCCATTAATTGTTGTTAATAATCCTCGAAGCACTTTCTACTGGCAGTGCTGAGCCTTAGTTCATGGGCCACCCGTTTGCAGCGCTTGCTTCTGTGGCCGTGGAAGTCACACTGCGCATGGACTGAATGCCAGTCCCGAGCCCAGCTCTTATCAGTCAACATCAGCTCATGCAGGGTGTCCTGAGGAAGTGCACAGGGTGTGAAAGCTAAAGCCAGACAGGGTGATGTGCGAATAGGGTGTCCAGCCTCAGGTGACCGCCCATCTCCTTGTTCTTCTGTCACTAGACTGTGTTTATAGAGGATAGAACTAAAGTAGGGGTGACAAATGAAAAGTGAAGGCTGAATTCCTGCCCCGGGGCACCAGCCTGGCACCTGGTGAGATTTCCTATGAGAGGCTGCATGCGGAGGGCGCCTCTCCTCCTCAGCTGGCCTCCCTGGGCTGCTTGTCCCTACACTGACAGGTCTGATTTCATCACCCCAAAGTGGAGCCCAGGGGCATTTGATGTGTGTCATTCTGGATGTCACACTGGACAACAATGCCCGCCCACAACCCCTGAGCTGAGGAGAACCTTGAAAGGCTCTGGTATTAGCCAAGGTTCTGATTAACCAAGGGTAAGATGCTGAACTCTTGCAGACACTGGCACCGTTACCAAAGGGTCTCCCTGGCCCGAGCTCCTATTCTGTTTTGTTCTTATTCTTCCTCCTTTGTCTTTGTCTTTGTCCTACAGTATTTTCCTCCTGTGATGAACGGTGCCACCACCCCCCAGCACACACGCATGCACACACACACACACACACACACACACACACACACGTCCTACTATCCTAAGCCCATGACGATGTGATCCTTTGCATAGTTATGTATGCCACTTGCCTGAAAGAGGATTGTACAGCAAATAATGCATCTGATTGTGACTTAGAAAAACAAGAGGCTCCTCTCTGCCTTCCTGAAAAGAGCCTTCAATGCTGACAGCTCCCTTTGAGAGAAGAACAAAGACAGGCCATGCAGAGGGTTGGTGGGGAGTGAAGAGCACTGTTACAGAAAAGAGTTGAAGAGGAAAGCGGCGAGACTAAACGTCGCTGCAACCAAAGAGAGGCAAGCTAAATGTCTCAAAGAGAGGTGTCGCGAAACCCAGGCAGGAGGCAGGGTGGGCAGGGAATCTGGACTGAGGAAAAGTGGCTTTAGACTCACAAAAAGATGCAAGATCCACCTTTGGGGCTGCACGTGTCCTGCCTTTGATAGGTATCTGCTTCGTCAGCGGGAGTGGGAGTGGTTGCAGGCCAGGTGACGGGCTGATAGACTCTTTAAGATGAGCTGATGCCCTGATATAAAGAGGATGGAAAATTTAGGGAATCAAGGCTGGGTTTTGAGTTTCATGGCTGAGCATGTTAGGGGAAGTTCTTTGTGTGTCTATCACTACGGGGAGGCAGTAGTTAGCCAGGCAGGAGCCACTGCATTCACACTGTGTCTGTATAGGATCTTCTCCTCACTGTCCCTCCTACCACCGCCCATCTGCACACGCACTGTGCCTTACAGGGAACTCTTTCATAGGTGAACCTGGTGCTTGCACAGGCTGAATGGCTATGAGCTCAATCGGCCAAGAGGAGAAGATAGTGAAGAAGAAACCACTAAGCACCGAAGGCTGGCCATGCACGCAGCCCCCTGTGGAAAGCTGACCAGAGAGTGAGCAGCTGGTCTCTTCCCTGGCCCGGCCCACTGCTCTGCTCACCAGAAGTAATAAGGCCATTGAATAGTGAGATCCTCTCTTGGGGTGCTTACATGTGAGCACACAAAGACAGGGAAAGGAAGAAGGAAAAAAAGAAAGAAAAGAAAAAGAAAGAAAGAAAGAGAGGAAGGAAGGAAGGAAGGAAGGAAGGAAGGAAGGAAGGAAGGAAGGAAGGGGCCTGGGAGTAGCTAATGATGGCTATACTTCAAGATGTACAACTTCTCCACTGAGTCGCCAGGCTTCTGTCAGACACTTAGAGCCACGTATAGCCATTATTCAGGTGGATTTCTCTGCCTGGAGCACCTTTTTTCTTGTATTTTCCTTGCTACTTTCACTTACTCTCAAAGCAAATGTAACCTGAGAAATTAGGAAAGGTGCTGGAGGAAACACCCAGAGAATACACATGGCATAGCCTCTGGGAAACAAGGATAAAAACTGGGACGGAGAAAGAGAAGGCAATAACTCACCTGGAGACCGCAGCCCCCGAGGACCTGCCAGGCCTCCTCTGTGGCAGTGCAGATGAGCCTCCTGGTGTCTTGAGCTCCGTGCTTCAGGCTGGCTGGGGTGGATGAACTCATGGTCAATTTGGGAAGCCCAGCTGAACTGAGTCAGTGCGGTTCTGGGCGTGGAAGACCCACCGGAGAACTGTTGCCAATGGCATACAAAGAGAACTGGGGATGAGATCTTTGGCTGCTGACTTTCCTGGAGAAGCTTGCCCGGCTGGTTTTCCTGATACAAACTTGGCTGTTCTCATAGCAGGAGCTCGGGTCCTCGCTGTCACCAAAGATGGCTGCAGTTCTCGTCAGGGGAGCTGTGGTCTTCACCGTGAGTGTCGCTTCCTGGCTCCAATCCCTCAGCCTGGTGGCACAGGTCCTTCACTCCCTGGTGCAGGCTTTCTGGCTTCCAGCACTGGCCTTTGGGCCTTCCCGGTGCAGGTCCTCCATAGGGACTTGCACGAGACATTACCGTGGGCTCCAGGCCTTCAGCTGGACTTCTGCAGGACATTGCTGTGGGACCCAGGCCCTCGGCTGGACTCTTCCTGTCTCTAGCGTGTGGACAGATCTCTTGCACCCCTTCGCATTTGACTTTTTAGGTGGCTATTATAAAATAATCCTATAAATGATGTGTTCTGTATTAAATCTACTCCCTTGTAAACCCCAACTACACCAGCTATGCCAGAGAAGGTTCTCTTGATTCCTCCTCTCCCAAGGTCGTGGCTCAGTCCATGTTTGCCAGTTTCCCTGTGCAAACATGCATTTTGTACCTGTCTGTCCACCTCACGCCGCAGGCAGGACGTGTAGAGAGTGATCAGAGCTGGGGCATTGTAGCTGACCTGCTGCTGGGAGGCGGAGCCTGGCTGGAAGATCCAGGCCACTGGGGTGTGACTGAGAGGTCAAATTTTCCTTCCCAGCTGCTCTCTTGCCTCTGGGCACTCCCCCCACCAAGGCCCTTCACCAGCGGCCCTGCCTTGGGGCCAGCCGGCCAGGGACTGAAATGTGTACAGACTGAGAGCCAGGATAAGCTTCTCCTTTAGGCTCCTGGGTGTTGGCTACTGTGTCTTAATGGTGAGAAAACAACTAAGACAGGAAGCCTCAGTCTTCCTTTCAATCATTGGAAAAGCAGAAAAGCCAATTTCAGATGAAAAAGAAATAACAGTAAAGTAGAGAGGAGAACAATTTAGATGAAACAGGTGGTTAACAACTTTTTGCTGGACTCCACCTTGAGAATACAGGGCAGAGATGAAAGCATAATGGGTTATGTAGCCAGGAAGATTGAGGACTTAAACTTAGCCTTAGAACTCAGCTATGTGAAGATTGGGGTAAGTCATTTACCCTACCTGAGCCCAATTTCCTGAAGTAAGACGCATGCTTTAGTGTCTGCCTCAGGGGCAGTACGTGATGCTCACGATAATTCGAAGAAAACCCTGAGCCTGTTTGGGTATAAACAAATGTTAGTTTTGTGTGCTAAAATATTGAAGAATTACAATATATCACTACAACTTCTGCTTCTCCATTCTCATTCCCTGTTCCAGAAGATACCTGTCCTATGTTCTTTAATAAACATTTACTGAGAATCTACCATGTGAAAAGTACCATTGTACATGCTCGGTATAATGTATAAATTACACATTATATTTAAGAGAGACACTAGAGAGTAGGAAAGATAGCCATTCTCAGAAGAAACACAAACAAATTAAAGTATAAATAGCTTTTGATTTCAAAACACTAAGCCACTGATAAAAGAAAGGATTTGGGTCTAGACATAGTACCCTCCCCGGTAGAAGCAATAGATCAAATACCATCTCCATCTGGAAAGAGACAGGTATGGGAAAGAAACTGGGACCACCATGTTGGGGAATCTGTGCCACCTTTTCTCTTTCTGGGGGAGGGGCAGTAGACCTACAGAGGAACAAGGCCATGAGGTCCATCTGGGACAGGCTGCCAACAGGCTACCCACATATACAGTCTGTTTGGCTGCAGAGTTGGTCCATGCTTTTAAAAATAATCATGGCCCGAAACACTGAAGAGGTACTTGAATCTCCCCCTTATTTTATAAATGAGGAACTTGAGGCTGACAAAGGTTAAGTGCCTTACCCAACTGCACCGTGGACAGAGTGGCCACTGCATGTGTCACCTAGGCAGTGACAGTACTGGCTGCAGGCTGCCGGACTCAGGTGGTCTAACTCAGTGTGCATAAAGACCACCAAAGCAAGAACAAAAGCTTATAAAATACAGATTCTCAGGCCCTGCTCCAACACTTCTGATTCGGGGGTCTGTGGTAGGCAGCACTCTTGGAACTGCACTTAATGGGCACCCTGTCAGGACTGGTGCAGGTGGTCTGAGGACTAATTGCCACCCTGGGTCTCTCCAGGGCTCATTTGTATGGAAACCCACAGCCTCTGCTCTGTAATGAGGCAGCATCAGTTCCATAAAATCCTTAGCTCTGCACTCCCTTCTATAGGTGTAAGCTGAACCTCTTCAACTGAGTTATGGCGTGCATTTGCATAAATTACCATGCAAAACTTGTTAATATTTCCTAGATATCCTTTTTCACTGCTCCATTAGACAAGGCTTTGTGCTTTTGTTTGGGGTTGAATGTCAGCCAATCGGGATCTACAACTGTGTTGGCAGAGAACTCCAGACGGTAATTTATTCCCCTCATGGAGCCAGGGTGTCACCTATCTGTCCTGAGAAATGCTGTCTGAATCAGTTGAATTTTATCATGCAAATTATAGGAAGTGTTATCATTATAAGCAGCAGGAGGTTCCTGATTTGCTATCATTTACACTATAAATGAGTTCAACCTGCTAGGTATAGGGAAGCATAGGAGAGAGGGAAGGACAGTGAGGGGAAGGTTTCGGCCCTGAGGGCTTTATGCCTCCAGTAAAAACCAAAAAATAGGAGCCTTCAAAGAGATGCATGGATCTGCTTGATGTGAAAGATTCAGAATGGGCTAGGCCTTTTGGAGGAGAAGCACGGAAGGAAAGAGGAACAACATGGTTTAGCTGAGCTGTGGTGAAGCCATAAGAGTCGCACCTGGACAGACTGCTCGAGGTGGAACTTGGCCTTGAGCACGAGAAGATGCAGCTGCGACAGAGTCAGAAGTCAGGACAGAGAAAAGAGAATCCGAGCACCGTGTTCCACAGGTAAGGACACTGAAGTCCAAAGAGGAAAAGACCACATGCTCAGAATTGGGCAATGTGAAGTTTCAGTCCTGCGTCGGTTTCTCTGGCTGTCACCTCTAATGCCTGGTCCCTACCACGTATCTAACCTGTGTCTGTTTCTTTCTTCAAGCCACACTCCCTTACTCGCCTTTCTTCACACTGAAAAGTCCTTCGAAGTCGCTTTTCCCACCAATCCATCCACACATGACCGAGCCCTCCAGGAGTACCTCCCCTGGGCGCTGCTCTGTGCTTCCCACTCCGTCTGCCTGTCCACATCTGTTTTTCCACACTCTCAGAGTCCGAGGTAGTACGTTTCCGTAGCTCAATACAGTGCAGTACCTGCCATCTAGGTCAGGAAGCACTGTCAGGGGCAGCCTCCGATATGTTGTCTTCCCAAGGATAATTGCAAATAAAAGAAAATAGAAAGAAAACCACAACACTTTAACCTTTGATATTAAAATTTCAGCCATAATTATAGGAGATGCCTTAGAAATATCTCCAGGAAGAGCTGCCTCCTAATGGCTTCCCTTGGGCCATGTTGGCAAGGAATGCTGAATATTTTCTGTTCACTCAATTCTGTGTCTCCCTAATGGGAACTGAGAAACATAGAGTGATACTCAGGAAACCAGGAGAGAGGGGAAAAGGAAGCAGGACAGAAGAAGGCACAGGGATGATAAGAAACAAGTTGGATAAAAAATGAGCCGCAGGATGATACTGAAGTGAGTGAACACAGGAAGGCAGGGGAAACTTAATTGTGGACTTAGGAGGAGAAGCAATGAAAGTTTCTGGTGGTGAGCTAAATGGCCAGAACCACCAGGGATCTGAGAGTTGGAACAGCCTGAGACTCCTCCCCATTCAGCCACAATTACCCATTTGAACCTGGGCAGGGGATTACAGTTCTCTGGCTTCTGTGCCCCATTCTTAAACTGAAGTGTCAGTGTGAACGAGCTCTATGACTGTATAATTCTTAATGGCCTTATGTCCACAGGAGTCACTGGCAACAGGCCTGTACTAACACCAGGATTTCTGGAAGAGACACAGCCCCCACGGTACTGAAGATTTCAGGAAGCTGGCCAAATGAGGACAGGATCATTAATGACCAACAGCAGGCAGGGCATTGCCGGGCGGTCAGATGGAAGGAGCAAGAAGGGAATCAGACGGAGAAAGAGGTGCTAGCTGCCTAGCTCTGCGCTCTTCAGAAGTGGTCCACATCTTTGCTCACCTTCTACCTTCCCAGCAATATGATGAAGCATATGGAGCTAAATTACAGTGTTCAGGGTCCCCTAGAACCTCAGCCCACTAGGTCTGTCCTTTCCTATTATTAGTACTAATAACGGTGATCAGACATTCCCTTTAGATGGCATCACTTCCATTCCTCCTGAAGCTTCACCAGCCTCACTGGCAAATGGAAAAGAACTACTTATTTGGGGATTTCCCCAGAGCTGTACGGCCACAATGTGAAGACCAGAAGTGGTGGACAGGTGGTAAGGAGTTGGTAATAACAGAAATTAAGACCTCCTCTCACCGCAAACGCGGAGGGCACTTCTAATACAGCCTTGCATATTGGTAAAATACTAGTGGGCTCCACCAGGAACCACCCCCCACCCCCACCCCAGTGGGGACACAGTCATTTGTAACCGTATCATAATAGAAAATTGTGTGAGTCTCTCTCACTTATAAACAGAGAAAATCAAATTGAGACCGATATTTTTCTGTGACGCCTCAATATTCATCATGAACTGCGCCTTACAAATCAAAGTCAAGAACTCCCAAGAATGAAACACTCCTCTGCATCTACCTGCTGAGTGGTAATAAACTGTGTACTAATTCCATGTCTGAGTTCAGTGGGCAGCTTCTCCTGGCAGTGGCTAGATCCCCATGTGTTTTGGTAGTTCCAAAGCCACAAGCATCCAGTTACCTTCCTGCCTCCTTGCTCTTCATATTTCCTGTCAAACATTTGGTTCAAGAAGTTTAATCCCTGGACTCAGGTGAGAGGATGTTGCATGTCTACAAGGCATCCAGCTGGGCTTGGGGGTAAGACACATTTAATTACTGGATAAGCCCACTCAAAATAAAGGAGGTGAGGCAGATGGATTTCTTTGCTCTCAGCAACACCTTCTTGGCCAAACAGACAGAGAGGAGGAACCCTGTGCAGCAGCAGGGAGGCCAGCCTGTGCATGGACCCGCTGCTTTGTTTCCATGCTGCTCTTCGGCTCAGGAGGTGTCAGTGCCCAGTAGCCAGTCCCCTGGCTGCCACATCTGACATATCTCAGACACACACCCTGCACAGGGACTGTCCCTGGAGAAACATCAGTGCTCATTCCTGTCACCGTGAAGCATCCATGCATAGCTGGGCTACAGGCAGACCCGGTGTTCTCAGGGAATGGCTGTCAGTCACCAGCAGTCCTATAGCCAGCGAGATTACACAGCAAGGCGGCCATCGAGCAGATGGGGTTGAGCAGAGTAGGAGAGGACACAGGCTTCGGACAATCCAACTAGTACTGCCAGTGTGAGATTCTGATGGGCACTGAGGAGTTTCAGGTGGAAATGATTTCCAGGATGATGTCTTTCCATGCAGTTTGCTACTGTCATGCTTCGGAAGGAATCAGCTCTGTGGTTTATAGACAGAACCCGCCATGGTAGACCAGGCCACCACTTTGGGGAAAACATCCAGCAGCT